CTATATCAGAATACATCTGTAATGCCAGAATCAAGATTGAACCATTACTTATTAAACTCTGCAGTTGCTCACAAAGTCTACACGGTGTACTATTACATTCAGTGTACCTTTTAAGTCGACAAAGGGGAAGAACGTCTGCAACAGAAACAACCACTTCCTTTTAGAGCCCAAATACCTTTTTGTGATCTTTGATGAACCCTAAGTTTGAAAGCTTAGCCTTTCAATCTCCTTCCTCTGTCCATTTATACATTTCCTTGGACTGCTCAGTACTTCAAAGCAGTGGTGCATAAGACCCTTAAGCAACAGGGCAAAATACCCCTGGGCCCTTTAAATAAATCATTGGCTTTCTCCCTGCCTTTTTTTTAAATGCCATTTGTGGAAGAGAAACTAGCGAGGAAGGAGTCCTCTTGCAAATACACTAACAATAAGTTTCTTTTTTTTCTGTGATTTTTTTTTTTTTGGTCCACCCACATGTGCAGAGTGAATTTTATTGTAAAGTGGTAGCCTAATGCTTTTTTTAAGAGCATTTCTGAAAACACTGACAAATTGTAGTTTTATTTTGGCAGTTTTATGTGATACAGAGGGGCCTTTGACAATTGAAACATAGTCACACAAGGACAAGAAACAACCCAGGTAGCAGCTTTTCTGCTCCCTTTTTCCCAGTTCAAAATACTGACACAGATTTTAAGTGAACACTTAGCCTCACCTTGTATCGTATACAATAGAAGAGGTAAAAGGGGTCATCAGCTAATTCGAGCGCTAGTGGTATGAACCCCCGGCTTCTTCAATCCACACGCCAAAGTGTCCTTACGCAAGGTACTGATGGTGCTGATCTGAAGTACCTTGAGGACAGAGCTGATGAAAATTTAGTGTGAATGCAGCCAGTCCCTTTTTTCGTATGCATTCAGTTTCACATTACCCTCTTTCCTCAAAGTGTGTGTGTGTAATGAGGTCTGCTGCCAGCTGGAAAAAGCTGGGGTTTCTGTGAAAATATGAGAGGCCTATGCAAATCCTACATATTCAACATAAAGAACTGAAACCTGTAGAATAACTTGGAGGTTTCCAGAGTGTCTGTCTTAAGTTGCTGCTTGTTGCTTTAGTGGACTTTAAATATTGCTAAATGGTACTTATATAGCACTTGAAATGATCAGTTTTTAAACTTTAGGGTTCAGTATCTTGCCCAAGGACACCTCGACAGGCAGACTAGAGGAGCCATGGGTGGTACCTGTGACTCTCCAACAACCGTCTGCATCTCTTGAGCCAGTCACCAAATATTGAAATCTGGTTGCCAGAGGCTAAGTCCGCATGTATAACAGCAGTAGACTGCTGCATGTGAAAGTCCCAGACACATGCCAGTCACAGCAAACTTGTTACTGATATACCTTTAAGAAATATGAGTCAGTGCAATTCTCCTGATATTCATGTAGCTCGTGTGCAAATTCTGTTTTGTTTTAAATAAATATCTGAAATCCTCTGTGTCTTCAGTGTTGATAGTTTCAGTGTTGACATGCAAGTAAGGAAGGTTTTCTATGAGATATCACCCATGGTATTGAATTTTCACATGATCAGTAATACATGTTGTATTTTTACAACATGTATTACTGTATTACATCAAGGAACAAGAGGTGCTAATGCTCAGTGGATAGCCACTGTCATGTGAGGACGTGGTTATCATTAAGCCTCACAGAGCAAATTTATAAGTACTGTTGTTTTTGATCACTGAGTAAACGGGAGTGTATACTGGAACCACTGACTGGTGAAGTGAATAACGACAATCATCTTGTTACACTGAAATGCTCTGCCTCAAAACCTTGCGTGTTGGCACTCCTGTAGCTCTTTCTTTGACATGTACCACCCACCAAAACATTGTTTTGGGACAAACCCATACCCGATGATAGTCATCTCTCTTAGCAAGGCAGTGAACTCCACTGCTCCTCAAAAACTGCTCAAAAACAACTCAAGGAATGTGACAAAGGTCTCTTGGTGCTGACTCCCCATACCTCATTCTGGTGGATATCTGTGGGATGCCTCAGAAAAGCTGATCCAGGGAAAGCGCAGCCCTGCTACCCACAGAACATGACGGATCCACTGCCAGCACAAGAATTGTGTAAAGGTTTAAGGACATTTATACACGCTCCCTTTCACAGGGATAAATATGCAAAACTTTCCCTGGTCAGGTCTTCTTCCCAAGATCTGCATGAAGAGTAATGGATGATTCATTGCAATGCCGTATGACCTATTCCTTCATTGTGTTAATATTCATGGTGTTATGATTAATTTTGCTCACTGCTTTAACCTGCAAGCATATGCCAGTGGCTGCATACTGTGCATGGCTTGCATTTATGGGCTCCTGGCATCATTGTGAACTCCGTTTGTTTAGCTGTAAATGAGTGTAAATGGATACTTTAGTGGAGCAATGAGCATGTGTTTATTGAAAGTAATGCCCTGTCAGAATCACAGCTGGGAAAAACCAAACCTCTGTAACAATGGCATTCATTTGTCTGCAGCACAGAGAGCCTTTTGTGGAATATTGTTCATTTCACAAAGGGACATGTTTGCACTCGCTTAGGGTCATACCTTCTTGACTGATATGGAACAGTAGTTTTCCACATGCCCATTGGAGTTGAAGTGTACTGCTGATTTTATGGATTAAGTGCTTGTTAGGAGTTTTCAATTTTAGTTTTACTCAGCTTCTATTAGTTTACATCCAACAGTCACATTTACAGTTGTGTAGTTTCTCATTCTGAGGGCCGGGGTATTGCTTAGGGCATTTATTTAGTCTTTCATATACATGAACCTCAAATCCATTAAAGGTTTCAAATGTTACCTTTTGTTATTATTTTTGTTTTATTTTGAGGACTTTAAATTCAAGTTTAACTCATAAAAATCACGCGCAGTATTAAAGGGGCTGTTTTCACGGGAAAGTACAGTGGATACGGTCTTGGTAAACTGTTTATTCTAGCACATTTCTTTTTTGTTGCACCTTGTGCTAATGATTCACATTATCACCTCAAGGTGTTTCTGGGAAACGGTAACCATGCTGCTGAGCACACTGTTGCGACATGCTTTTCTATGAGTTATTTTGAGGTTATCTGGTCTGTCTGCATCGACATCCATTTGCTGCAGGAAAAAAAAGCTGCCAGCTTGGAATAGCATCTCTCTGTTTAAGTGTTTTTTGCCGCACCCTCCCCTTTATGAATTCCTAATGCATTTGAGTGTTGGTCTTTTCTCTCAGAAAAGTTATATAGGAAGAAACAAACAAAAAGGCTTGGATCAGAGAATGTCAAAGCCCTTTCTCTAAGGACAGGACACCTCATGTAGAAGGTCACGAGCTCTATTGAATAAAGCAATTTTTCTCAAGCTGATAGGTTTCTCTTATATTAGTGTTGTCAACATTCAAGAGGAAATTGTTATTATCTGCTTTGTAAAAGGTACTCAGTCTAATAGTCACAGCAACAACCAAGGGAGAACATATTCCTCCTTTAATTGAATCAATTGTTTAGTGTTCTGGATCATATTCTGAGCAGAAAGAGCACCATTCATAGATTACTGAGTTTAACACGCTCAAAGTGTGTAAACAACAGTTCCTTACATGTTCAGGCTGTTTAAAGAATACTAATGATACAGGTTTACTAGCTGACAGTTGTTATTGACCCCATTTACACATAAACATATGATTTGTATGAGAAAACATTGTATGGATACTGATTAGTGATATCAGTTCTATTTCTTTTTTCAATTTACATCTTGTATTAAAATCAGTTCTCATTATCTTGATTGTGCTTGCATCGAATCCAGTCTCCATATGCAAATCAATAAAATGTGGATGACTGACTTGTCAACAAACATGGTGCATACTAGCAAATTCTTTCTTCCATTGCAGATGAGATGCTGAGATCTGATGTTTTTCCGCTCACACGATGATCTGCTTTTATCTTGCATAACCGTTTGTTTTTCTTGCAGATGAACTGTCTGCATACAGTTTATTTTTAACAACCATAGTTAAGACAGTGTTTAAATAGTGCTTGCTGGTTAACACAGCTTAAGAGGTGTGAGCCTGTTCCACACTACAAGTTACTGGAAAGAAAAGGAAAAAGAAACTAGAAACATTGTTTGTTAAATTTTGACCCCGTGGCCAAATATTTTATAAAGATAAGCAGTTACAAATACCTTGAGCATTAAAAGCACTACTTTAACGAGACCTAAAAAGTAAAAGCCATATTTTTTTTTCAGTATGCTAATTTATTTTCATTGTGATGTGGCCTCATTATTTTTATATGAAATATTGTTATTATTTATGCATTTATTTTGCTTGACCTAGTCTTTATATAGTTAGTTTATATATATCTGAACATAAATTTCATTTCTCTTTAAGCCAGTTTGAATATCAAAGGTTAGTTCTGGAGTTTGTCCATCACCACATTTGCTTATGTGATCTCTTTCACTCCCTCTTTCTGTCTTTCCACTTTTCTGAATGAGGCTTATTTATTTGTTTATTTGTTTTGGTTATTTCTTCATAGCAGTTGTGATATACATGTTAATTTTTCATTAGCAATAACTTGCAGGTTCCACCTTTCTCAGCCCCCTGTTGCAGCAGTAGAGACTTAACTGCTGGTGGCACCAGATTATAGTGTGCACCTAGTACATTATGTCCATACCAGTTTAATAGAAAGAAAAGTTCCTGTATTTTTGGGAGTATTAGAAATAAAACTTTTGGGGTTTCTATATAATTTGTTATATTGTGGTACCTTAATATCCTGAATAGGGTTAAAAAAGTAATGCACATGTCCTTAGGGTCAAAATATATTTTCATATGTGTACTTCACATGACCTTTAACATGTTAATGGAAGGTCAGCACAATACGTTTTCTTTTTAATGCACTGTACTGCTGTGTCATGATAGAGCAGGTTTGACAGTCTGTAATGTTCACTTTTGTCAGTGTAAATCTCAAAATTTGTGATTTTTAATTCTTGAATTCATTTCTCCTTTTTCCAAACAGCTCTTTACTCCATCATACTAATCTGTGTCTTCCTGTGGATCCCCTTTGTTTACTTCTACTATGAAGAAAGGGATGACAACAATGTGAACAGATGCTCAGTAAGTGACTTTCTTTTGCTACACACATCTCTGTAAACTGCTGAGATGTGGTGCATATCCTAAAACGATTTCATTTGAATATTGTAGCCAGTTCAAGGCGACTTGCACCACTTCATCTTTTATTTTTATTTCATTGAAAATCACACAAACCTTCCCAAAGCACCCATGTTAAAGTGGATTTTTATCAACAAAATAGGTTGTTTCTTAAGTAGTTTTTCCTTTAATATTATTTCTAATAATTGGATCATTTATGATTCTCTGCTAATAACTTTTACATTGCTATGCTGCTTGTGACTAAAATTTACAAGCTTTAAAATCATTTGCAAGTAATTGCAGATACAGTGTTGATTGTTTGACTACTTGTGGTGCTGTAGAGGAATGTTTTCTAATCTGTCACAAGACTCACACAGCATGATCACAGAAGGAACAAGGTGCACATATTTGCTGAATGTAAAAGGTTGTAATGGTTGATGAGAGTTAGACTATGTACTTTGTACATTAAAAAAAATAAAGACATCAAATGTTCTGTTAGGTAGCAAATACAATCAACATGCTTTTAAGGCACTGGCAATGCAGGCTCAAACTTAAGTGAGCTCTCTGTAACCTGGTTTTAAACCATCCATGTCCAATCAAGCACCATGGCTTGCTTTTTTATTGAACTCAAGTTTATATGTAACTTAAGCTTAACACACTGTGTGCAAACTTGCATGGACTACAACAGTAAGACATTGTACTACTTTATGTACTGTATGCCACAGAAAACAAGTGTTATTTATTACGTTTTGCTTTGCGCCATTTATGTAATTTACTGATGGCTAAAATCAACATTGGCTGGTCAAGTAATTTAGGAGACTAGCCAACTCGCATTTCCAAATGTATCCATAAGTTACAGACACGAGTTAGGTGGTAATTGTAGCTAAATTGAGTTGCTAACTTCATTTTTGTTAACAGGCAATAACTAACACTAGCCAGAAAAAAGACAGGTTAGATTTGATAAAAAAAAAAATCAATTACTCCATGATAGTTACTCCCAAATATCTGACTGGTGTTAACTGTAGTTTTCCTCTGAAAGAAAGGACCGGTCATGATTTTTTATTTTTTTTTTGGAGATAAAACAGGCTTTCTTCTGCTTAATGTTTGCTACCATTAGCTCACCTACTCTCAGTTTTAGGTAACATTTCAGTCTGCAAGGCATTGCCACTTAAAAAGTCATAACACATGAAGAAAAGTTACCCAACAGATGTTTCACGGATTTTATCCAACACGTGTTTCATTGTGGTAATGAAAATAGTCACCCCAATTTACTGAACCACTGCATTAATTCAGAGAGACTTTAGAAGATGCTTTAGTGAGGGACTTTAACATTTAGTCATTTCACGAGCACCAAACAGCAGCTATCTCATAGTGCTGTTTCTCCCATGCATGTGTCAATTTTGAGCTGACAGAGGCACTTTCTCTCACAGATTGGAAGGTCCTTTGTATTGTTACTTTAAAAGCCTTGAATAGCACCAGGAGTGACAGTTTATCTCTGCCAGGTCAAACAGGATCTACACTGGCTCTGTATAGTTCTCACTCTCTATAGTCCTTAACTGAATGGAATATGACCCCTTCCCTCACTCACAATGAATAATAATAGTTCATTTCATGACTATGATTGACCAGTTAAATTTATTTTTTTCATTACAGCAAGTGAAAAATGCTCTGAAGTACACAATTGGATTCGTCATTGTCTGCGTGGCGCTTCTTTTAATTGGGTGAGTTGGAGACATGGTTGGCTTCTTCTGCTTTAGTACACGGCAGGTACTCTGGTGTGGATACATCATTGTGTTGAGTTAATGAGAAGACGATCCCTTCAAACAGCTACAGGGCCATTTGTCTGGCCATGATAAGCCTTTCAGGAGACAAAGCTATGTACCTTTCTCTAAATAAGTGTTTTGTTTTTGTGTATGAGTGCTAACTAGATTCTTTGAATGCAGAGTGCATTTAAATAGATCTTTGTTAGAAATTCAGCATTTAGACATTTTCAGCCATGCTCTGTTTATGTGCAGATTTAAAACTGGTTGTGTTTAGGAACACCAACACAACATAATAGATTTCCTTTGCAACCGTGACAGCAACACACCTGAAGTTCAACCTACACAATTAAATGCGCTCTCTCAACCATTAAATGGTGCACTGAGAAAAGGCTTACCTGGCTGGGAGAAAAAAAGGACACATGACTATACTTTGTTACAGCTGAAAGTTTGGATGTCAGGATGTTTTTATAGACAGAAGCAATTTCCCTCTCCTTTGCCCAATAAACTGGAACTATTGGTGCTTTGTTCTAGCAATTGTTGCTTAGGTGCTTTGATTTTCAGCAACATGATAGCTTTAATCTCAGACTGCTTTTCTGATACCAACAGACATAATGGCCCTGTTTGGGCAGTGTTCACTCAGTAGGTCTTTGCTTCATGTTACAGGCTTTTGTTGTCTTTAAACCTGGCAAGGTGACTGACTCCTTAAATAGCCTCTGATTGTTCGCTGCAGGATTTCTACTTATTTATCTATGTCAGTTTTTTTAAACTTATTTTTTGTAGTAATGTAAATAATATTAAGGTTTTTTTTCTCTCTCTTTTTTTTTTAAAATTTGAAATCGGAGGAACTGAAGTCAAGCTTTGTCAGAGTTATAGAGAAGCTAGGTTTTTATAACTAAGACACTATGTCAAACTTATTTTTTGGAACTACATAGAAAATGTGCTCTAAAAATTTCAAAACACGTTTTAAGTGGCAACGAGAGACTGTTACAGTGGTGATCAAAGATGATGGCTTCTGAATTCTGCAACAACTAAAGCAAGGTTACTTCTCCAAAAAGAGTGAACCACAACACACAAAAGTTTGGAAATTAATGTCGATAAATAAAGCAAGACCAACTCTGCCAAACATTTCTCATCTGATGGATATAAAAAACCTTTATGTAGACACAGTTATGAAGAGTTGAGTAAGCTAACGAGAGCTTTTTATTTTCTTTTTTTAAAAACAAAAGTGAGACGTATGATGGCCAAAGGAATTCACATTAAAAAGATAAAGTGCAAGTATGAATCCTAGAGGAAATACATATAACATCAGAAAATATCTTTGGGTCTGGATACTTTAGACTTAGTTTGGGATTTTTTGTTTAGATTGGTCTTGATTTTGCTAAAATAATTTTAAAGTGGAAACAATAGTCCAACTCAAGCCTAAGGTGGATGTTACTGTGGTAACAATTGGTGACATTTGCTTAAACTCTTTCTGCCTTTGTTGCCTGCGGGGGGGGGTAACCATTGTTTCTTTTTTCTGAATTGAGTAGTTTCTGTTCTATTTCAGGTTTTTATTTGCTGTGTTGTCCCTTTACCTAAAAAAGATACAAGTGATCTCTGCCAATCACCCGTTGGAAAACGTAGGTCTCTTTATTACTCAAAATGTACATTAAAAAAAGACTATCAGAGAGAGCAGAGTGGCGCCTGGTAATCTCTGTGTGGCAGCTGTTTTTCTCAAAATGACAAAATTGAGAAGCTTTTATGAAAAATTGTAAATAGCTTCATTTTGAATAATCAGGTGTTAATCATTTGAGCTATATGCTGACTTGTAAGAATTCTTTTGTAGTAACAGTAGTTTCAGTGATTATTATCCATTGCCATAATAAATTCCTTCTCAGCTATGTTATCCAAGTCAGTTTCATAGTCACATGTGTAAACATAGACCATAATTACTGGCTCGCGCCAATGTATGTCTGTATCTGGCTGAGTAGCTGCTTGGGTCATAATTTAAGGACACTTAGAAACTGCTGACCTGACTGAACCTGTAGCTCAGCAGTTTACTGTGAAAGTAAAGAGAATACAGTAGGCCAGTCGCATACAGTTTAACAGTTGTGGTTTATGCCGAGGTAAGCAAATAGATGTTTTTCCAGAAACTATTAATGCGTAAGTTTAATCATTTTTATGTGTTGTTTTTCTACTGTTTTTAATTAAATACAAGGTTTACTTTATTTTTAAATGATTTGATTAATATCTCAACTTTTTGGAAACTTCATTTTTTGGAAACCTTATTATTATTATTCATGTACTTTCCTTCATTGAAAAGAGCAGTTTAATGTGCTGTTAATATGAATTTCTGTGAATCTTTGTCTCTGTGATGAGGACAAAGATAGCCTAGAAAGAACCACCATAATTTTATCTGTCTTAAAAGTTATTATTTTTTATTCTTACAGAGCGTTTGTTCCACTCGCCGCCCCACCCGGTCAGAATTCTACTCAGTGGGAGAAAGTACAATACCTTTTTGAGGAACTTGGGAGTAGTCGTAAGTACCCATTCTTTAGAAAAACGCCTACACTTATGTCCAATTTATGTCTTGTTTTATAGCAGTTGTTCCCATGACTTATCGTATTTTTTCTCTTTATCACTTGAAAGTGAAACTACTTCATTCAATCCACCTCATCTTGTAGGATTTCCTTATTTCTACTGTCATCCTATTATCAAGTTATTATAATGTCAGTTTTACATATAGCCTGATCACTGATCACAGTACTGTCCAGTACAGCTTTTCTGTCTATGTAACACAGGGTTTTGGACTACCATTATAACCATGACTAAACACTTCAATACAATGCATAACCCTCTCCACTTTGGAGAGGGAGGATATGAGCAGGTAGTCATGTCTTGGATGGCTAGAAAATTATGTGGTGGTTTTGAAAGTCTCAAATTAGTTTTTAAACTAACAGACTAGAAATGTGGTTAATTTAAAGTGCACCATTGAAAGTTAAGTGGAACTAGAACATGTCAAAGATGAGATGTCAAAAACGGACTGAAATTGTTAATATGCACTCTCCACATTTAGCTCACTGGAACCATCAGAAAAAAAAAACCCTCACCCATGTAATGTAAAATTGTAACAACGTGTACCACAACCCCTCTAGAACTGCCAGGCTCTGTCAAGCAACAACAGCAATAGTGGTACAGAATCCACTAATGAACAAGAACAAACACAACGATATCTAAATACTTTATTTATTGTAGGAGAACAAAATTATGGAAAAGTTGTGGAGCCGGTTGAACCGACCATTGCCTACATTTTAAAAGTTAATTCACAGTTGCCCACAAAAGATAAGAAGCACATTTTAATAAATGAATTGTTGTAAAAGTAGAACAGTGACTGTTTATCATCTCATTAACATCACATCCCTGCTGCTCTGCACAGTCAGCAAACCGTCCGGGACTCTGTTCTGCTCCACCCTGGCTCAATATCCCATCTGCAACTTATTTAGCACTACAATGATTATTCTTCTTTTATCTAACTATAGTGACCTATATAGTTATTGGTTAATAAATGTGTTGCTTGGCAGCCAGACTGGTTGAGTGTACAGCATTTGCGTTAATGTCTTTTAGGTAAAAATGATGTCCTCAGTGGCTATAGCTATAAATGGTTGTCATTTTTCTTTTTATTCCACACAACTGAAAATTCACCATAAGATGAATAAACCCATTTTAGGAAAAAGTCAAGAAATATGAGTTAAGTTACAAAACGACCCCCTTAGCTCTCCTAGTGTAAATATATATTTTAGCTTTCATTTGTGATTTACAGACAGGCTGTCTAGTAATCACTCTTAAATCCGTCTTTGTATTTGTCATAGAAAGTGCCAAAATCGACAGCAGAAGTCAAGCTTTGAAAACAGATTGCAATACTGCCCTAAGTACTCAATAACGTTATGTAGCAAGCTTTTCTAGTCACTCTCTACCTGAACAGTCATATAAAATGTGATGATAAATGATTTTATAAAGAAAATAGCTTGTGTTGATGCCTAACAACACTGTAAAAACTCCCTATTTGGGCATTTTCACTTGTTGAATGGAACAAAGGCTGAGAATATGCTCATGCTAAACACTGGCAAATGTGGACTCCTAATAGTTCTTTTGGCCTCTTGCCATCTGGGGATCAAGGAGGAAGTTGAACCATCTGCCTCTCTGCATAATAGTGGACCCCTACATGCTCTCTATAACCTTCCTCCTTTGGCACAGGGGGAAATTGCTCTGCTGCTGAGGAAATGTGAGGATGATCCCTTTTGTAATTCCCCATCTCTTCTCTTTCCAGATGGGAGGTTAATTGTGTAAAGAAAAGGCACTTTTACCACATAACCCTCCTGACTGCTTTGCAACAACTGTGCATTAAAGTCACTACCTCTTCAATAGTTCCAGCATTACATTTGTTACAGTGCTCAAGTGATGCCTTAATGTTCTCCAGATCACTAGCTCTCATGTTGGTATTCAAGACCATACAGTACCGTTGTGTATTTTTGGCCATGTCTCAAGAGGGAGAGTGCAGTGGGCAGTAGTCCAGTTTTAACTACTATGAGTACTCGAACAATATTCCTAACACTTAACTTATCTTGACTTTTTCCTTTCTTCAGCATTAAGAAAAGAAATTATAAACTTAAGTGCTGCCCCTGGAAGTAGATGCTGTAAAGCATCACTTGAAGATCCTTAATTTCACTCAAATCTTTTGGGTTAAGCATTTGTTCATCCATGACAAAAATGTGATGCACTTGTGGTTAACTCTTTTAAAAACTCTTTAAAGGTGTGTTGATGCTGATTTTTTTTCTCCTTTGAATAGATGACTAGTTGCTGGTTGCTTTTAATTACTCAGTCGCTCAACAGAAGTAGGGTGCTAGGGCTAAAGGAGTTCCTTAATAAACACCTTTCTTTATAAGTCTTATGCATGACCATAGGCCTGTAGGGCTATATATATGTGGGGTTGAGATAAGAGCTGCCTCATTCCGTTTCTCTTGGAGTCGAAGCTGTCCAGACGTGGAAGCACCAATGATAAAAGACAACATTCCCTATGTTTAAGCCCCAGAAAATCTGCTCAAGAAACCAAGAATACTGGCAGCAAACATGTATCCTTTGCTTTGTGTGGAGTTCATGAACAGAATGTTCTCTATGCAGAACATGATGCTATTGTCTATTTTACCAAGCTCACCACTAAACAAAGGCAGCAAATTCGGGATGAAACACTCGGGAGTAGAAAACACGTATTCACATGTTAATGTTAAGCCCAGCTGTCAGACTTCAAAGTTTTCCTTTTGCATACAATACAATAGGGAGCAGGTATATAATTTATCTCTATTTTCCACTTCTTTGTCCTGCTGCTTGTTAGATGCCTATAAAGGAAAGTGATAAATGATATAAACAGCACAACATATATGCCCTGAATACGGACTTAAAATTCCCATTCAAATTCCACTGTCAAGGAGAAAGGCAAGCAGAGCCACCTATGACCGTGTTGACAGGTGGGCTGGGCATTATGAGGCTGCTGCTGAGAAAATGCGGGATATCTACAGAGGGACAAATGTGTAGCTTTTTACTTGGAGCACTATGACAGGTGGGATCCTGACAGGGGAGTGTGGCAATCAGTCTCTTCATCAATCCCTGTCTTCTAACTCCAACTCTGACAGCTGGTGTGATACCTACTGTTGCCCTTGCCTTATGGGTGGTCCTCTTTCTGGCTCAATCAAAGGTGACACACATCAGCTCAACCACACATCAGAATTGAGAGACGCAGCTGTTAAAACATTGGCTATGATCAATGTATTAAATGGCAGTGATGACAAAAATGTTGAATAGGTGTATCTCTGGAAAAAGAAATTCTGTTCATTAAAATAACATACTAAATCCCAAGATTACCTGAATACTAACAAGCATTATCCCCATTCAATGATATAACATTTATTGTTGATCTGTGGGCATGGGGTGCTTACAAAAAAAGAATGAGTAGTACAAGCAGCAGATACTAATATGATTTTTAAGCTTTAGCCCTTCAAGCTCAAATCTTGCAGTTCTGTGAAAAGTTATTCTCTTTTTTTTCTCCTTCTTTTTTTTGCATATTTGTCCCACTTGTATTATTTTTTTATTATCAAACAGATTTTAATGTTTGACCAAGATAACTAAAATAAATGTTAAAAAAAAAGTGATTTTATTTATTAAGGGGGAAAAAAAAGCTGTCCAAACCTGCCTGCCCCTTTCTGACAAATATTTTCTTTTCATAAACTAGAAACTGGTTTTGCCACCCAGCAATAACTGCAATCAAGCATTTGCAATAAGTACCAATTCGTTTTTCACATCACTGTGGAGGAATTTTGGCCCACATTTCTTTACAGAATTATGTTAATTCAAGAGTGTTTTCAACCATGACGGCCTGTTTAAGGTCATGCCAGTGTGTAGCAATCTGATTTCACTTCAGTCTTTGACTAGGCCACTCAAAAACCTTTTCTTTTTTTTTGTTGTTGTTGTATTCAGAGGTGGATTTGCAGGTGTGTTTTGAATCATTGTGTTGATGTATAATCCAAGTGCTTTTGGCACAAACTGATGGCCTGACATTCTCTTTCGGGATTCTCTTGTAGAGAGCCCAATTCATGGTTACGCTCGATGTAACGGGATGCAAACCTTTCTAAAGGTTTAGCTTTCGTCTCATCAGTGCACAGAATATTCTCCCAAAAGTCTTGGGAGATATTTTTAACATGTGTGAGATGATGTTTTCGCTTGGGAACTCTTCCATGGATGTCTTTTTTGTCTTAGTCTCTTTCTTATCTTTGAATCACAAACTCTGACCTTAACTGAAGTAAGTTAAACCTTTAGTTCCTAAGGTGTTGTTCTGGTTTCTTTTGTGACCTCCTGGATGAGTCATTGATGCGTTCTTGAAGTAATTTTGTTAGGCCGACCATTCCTGGGAAAATTCACTGAGTTTTCTCAATTTGTGAATAATAGCTCTTTCTGTAATTCACTGGTGTCCCAAAGCCTTCAAGAAGGTTCCCAGACTGCTATATATCACTGACTTTGTTTTTCATGTGTTACTGAGTTTCTTTACATCTTTGCAAGATGTGTTGCTTTTCTTTAACTTTCTTTTATAGTTCTTTTGGCCCACTTCACTTAATCAGACAGGTTCTGTTTCAGGTCTAGCAGTAAACAGTCCTGTGTGTTGCTAGTGAAAGTGAGCTCAGCTTTCCACAAATTTAGTTAAAAACAGGGGCGATTACTTTGCATAGCTTTTTTTCCTTTAATAAAATCATCATTTAAACAAAAAACAAGAAATAAGTAAGGGGGAAAAATACTTCTTCACAGTACTGTATTTGTTTGTCATTAATTTGCTGTACTTACTACTATCTTTCCACTGTTTGCAATGTATACTTTTAAGTAAAACCATACATTACCTAGAAAAATCTATTTAGAGTTGCACTTTCTATGAAAGGTAAATGGACTTTATTTTCACAGTGGAGAGCCTCGAATCTAGTCCCAATGTTAGTTTTCACTGTCTTCCAATCACTGTGGATACTTTAAAGACCTCCCTGTAGACAACTGGAGCAAATGATAACAGCTTGTGGTGTTTAATACATTCAATGCAATAGAATTTGAACAATTTTAACATTTCAACTAATAGCAGGACTCAACGAACAGCTGCCTGAAAAACATTACTAAAAAAAATAAAAAGAGCAGAAATTGTGATCTTGAGTTTGTACATGTTGTGAGTCCATCGATGTGTCCTTCAGAGGTCAATGGCACATCTCTAATTCCTTACCGGATTTTCCTTCTACAGATGGTCTTCCTGCCCTGTCTTTCTCCATCAGCTCCTTGACCTTGATTGGCATGTTGGCAGTGATCACTTACACGGTGAGTTGACAAGTGGTCAGTGTTATTTCATGTGTTCATTGGAGCAACATTCAGTTCATCTGCTTGGTAATTAAGCAGTTATACAATGGGATGACTTCCAAAGCTTACCAGCTCTGCAGCTTAATAGAGTTTGTGGTTTTTAAGACACAACAGAGTGACTTATAAAATGATTTGACGTAGGAAATGGGACTAAATTGTTATCTTTGTTTTGTCAAACATACCAAGTTTGATTTACGCAGTGGTTATAATTTCTTTTTCTTTTTAGCTTTTAAAGTCTTTCAAGTGCACTGCAGGTTTTGTGTACAAATGGTTTCTCATAGTATTGGTTGACTTGGTGATGGAGTTGCCTTTTACTATTAGTAATGTCTTGTGATCTTAAAGATAAAGCATTTAGTTGCTGAAATTGTTTAGGCTGCTGTCTTTTATCTAATAACCCGAGACTTTTGATGTATGGATCCTCCTCCCAGCCTTATCAGCCACTTATCTCTCTCTCTCGCTCTCTCTCGCTCTCTGTATATTTGGTTATATATTGATTGTGTTTTTTGCTGGGTCAGAAAAAAAAGAACTTATGAAACGTTGTCTATTTTTCATAGCTTTCATTGTTTAACTAATCTGTGAATAATACCTGGAGGTTGTGGCTGACATGAGTTAGTGTCTGTTGGGGAAAAAATACAAGAGCGCTATTAGGATCAGCCCAGACATTGAGAATAGCACTGACAACCAACTTCAATCTATCGAGTTTCTGTTGAGCTCAAAGAATCCTATCTGACAGATGAACAACAATTGAATGTGGAACTCTTAATGAATAATACACAACCAAGTCAAATAAGTTGTTGAGGCAGTTGCCCTTTAACACAAAAAAAATCTGTCTCATCTGGGAATTTATTCACTGTTCTCTCACCTTTGTGTAACCGTTCTCCAAAGGGTGGATAATTACAGAGTACATTTTGAGGATGGAACTGTGCTCAGATATGTTCTGGCCCATGCTGCTATGGACCAAATGCCCCGAGGAAATCAAAACACCCGGCGTGTCTTTGTTTTTGATGTTCCTTGTTTTGATAAAGTCAATCAAAGAACTCAGGCTTTTAGGCGACAGCAACAGCAGTCTGTACCTCTTTTATTGTCACAGCCTCAAAGCAGAAACTCTTTTTTTGTGTGTCTGACTTTGAATAATGTCCTTTTATCTGCTGTATCTCCTCTCTTCTCTAACTACAAGTGTGAAAACTGTTGTAGGTGGCAACCTACCGGTATTTGCAAAGAACTGTCTAATTTATCATCTTATGCTACTAAGCCCGATTAACTTAATGGAAGCCAAGTGACAGGTTCCATAAGCAGTGGAAATGTTGTCCATGACTCCTTTTGCTAATTTATCACTACCCTTTGTGCAGAACTCGCCATGTACTCTTAATGCACACAGCTCTGTGATGTAAACACTATACAGCTCTGCAACCTGGTGCACTTAAATTTCGTTCACATTGACGTAAGGCTGCACGGCTTTCTTTCTGTGTGCATAGTTCACTTATTAGAAGTAACTTAAACAAAACTCAAGCAATGTTATTTACCTTTCTATAGACAGAAACAGTTAATGGCTGCTAATGACTATTTTATTGTTGGGGTGTTCTGATAATGTACGGTCCTGTCAGTACTGTAAATCAAATAGAGCTCGGCTTTAGAGAGATTATACACTGAGTTTAAATTCAGTAAATTTATTTATTTTTCTAATATATTTTGCAAACATAGTATTTTGCACTTGATAGCAACTTTAACTATTTTAATCTGTTTTAGAGGGCAATAAAAAAGAGAACATTTAATGAAAAGAATTTAAGTACACAAAAAAGAACTTTTTCTTATCCCTAATTACTCTGTAATCTCCCACTCTGCTTCACTCAACCCAATGATATTACAAGGGATCAGCAAAATCTCAAAGCTCATGCATCATGTGAGATCCTTTGGCATCGTTTACTTCCTTTAAAAGCTTAGCTAGCATATTGACTTATGACTGTCATGGCTCTGTCTGCTGTTGAGATGCCATTCTCTTGCTCTTAAAGTGAAAGCCATAAAAATGCTGATACTGAATTAAATTTGGTTAATGTCTGGTAGTGTAATCCCAGACCCTGAAATTGACCTGGGCATAAGGTTCTTCCAGAGAATTGGAGTGATATCTGTTTTTCTAGAATTCTGTAACACCTCGAGGCTTTTTAAAATTTGAATTAAATTTTTATATTTTGTATTTCATTTTGAAGTTCAAAGTTTGTGACATTGGATTTTGAATAAAACAAGACGTGTTTTAGTGTGATAAGCACTTACAAACTGAAATTCTAAACAAGGAGAAGTACATGACATGAACAGAAGGACAGTATGTCCCTGAATGAAATTACTATTTTATAAACTTCATGTAATAAGTATATCTATTTAGTAGGATGAAATCACAGACGGTATTACCAGCAGACTGTATATAATGCACACATGTAGTTACAGAGGTTTTGGATTCCTCAGTTTAAAACATCACTGAATCTGAATTTATTTTTTGGCAAAAGAAAGGTTAGGTTCAATATAATCTTTTTTTAAAATAGCACAAGTTCAAAAAAAGTCACAAAGTGCTTTTATAAAAATTAATAAATTAATAAACGCCGCAAATTTGTCCAGTAAAATTACACAGTTGGCATGAATGGCTCCATGAACACTAATTTAGTCTGGGGAAAAAAAGTAAACAAATGAAATATTCACATGGGTTTTACGTGTCTGGTTTGAAAAGGCCTTAAGAGTGAGCACTTGGCAACTGTAGGAAGGAAGAACTCCCTTTTAACAGGAAAAGACCTCTTGCAGAAGCAATTTAGGGCTGAGGATGAGACAGTGTAGTGAACCACTGCCTAACATAGGGCTGAACGATTATGGAAAATAATCTAATTGCGATTTTTTGCCCCAATATTGCGATTGCGATGCGATATGCGATTATTTTTTAAGGTCTTTGTCTTCTGTATTATTAAACAAAGACAAGCAATACATCTTATAGTATGGCCAATACTATATTACATTAATTTTAAACTGTTCTTTCCTGGAAGACAGACCTCTGTTATGATGACATGAGGTGATGCATGAATTGATGACTGACATTTTTATTTAACTTCTTCAATCACAACAGTATATTTGAACATACACAATAGTTTATTTTTAGCTTACAAACATCTGAGCATAAAGTGCTGACAAGGAACCCTGGTGTAAACATTAAAATGAAAGTCAGTACAATGTGCCGATTGCAGAAATATACATAAACAAAATCAGTGGCTTTACCACACTCAGTTTTTCGACATCTGTGAACTACTAGACAGTCATTCAATTAAAAAATAATATTAAATAAATAAAACTAATAAATAAAAAATAAACACATCTTACTGATCTCTGCAGTCAGTAACATTACACATAAAGTGCAAACATAATAGCAATTGTATAAACACACACACAAACACGCCTTTAAAATTTAAAGGCGTGAAATTGGACGGTCCTAATCAGAAGGCTAGTTCCGATTAGCGTCACCGCTGTCTCGGTGGAGTTTAATAAACTCGGCCGTCTGCTTCTTGCTATCTAAAATATAACCAGACACTGGTGTAAATTCTCGACTGTCTCATACTTCTGTTTAATAAGTTTTCTGTTTGACGTTTAGTCAGCTGTGTGAAAACCAAGGAGGAACCCACCCGGGGGATTCATAAAGTTTTATTTTATCTAATCTAATAACTTTAATCTCAGCCAAACCGATTTACTCACGAACAAACAAAACACTGAAAAAAGCCCAACAATAACATTTTTAGGTTGTCTAAGTGACTTATATATTACGTTTAACCCGAGCAGCGAAACTCCGCGGTGATCTGAAAATGATGTGCCGGGAGTTGTGCCGTTCTCGGCCGGATCAGTAACACTCGAGCTAGCTGTTGAGCTGGTGGGTAGCAGACGCCTCTGAAAACGTTGAAGCACTTTTGCAAATATGGGATATCTTGATAAACCGAGCAGATATTTGATGTTTACACAACTACTTTCTCGCCTGAAAATATGTTAAAAGTTTATTTTGTGACCCAGAAAGATTAGTATGAGTAATTTTAAAACTTAGTAGCGGCCGCCATTGCTGGAAACTGGAGTTTGGCTGGGCCGCGCTATGAATTCTGGGATATGGTAGTAATTTGGACAGCCTTCGGCGCGTCGCTGTGACGTAATCGGTCTACAAATGCGGCCTCAGGAGGATGCAGCCCATGAATTTGGACATGTCCAGAGTATAATCGCAGCCTTTGCGGTTAGAAAATTGCACTTGATCATGTCGCGATATTATCGCAAATGCGATATATCGTTCAGCCCTAGCCTAACATTACAATAATCTAGTTGCTCTCTTCCCTGTTCACTTTAGGGTTCAAGTCTGTTTTTAATCCTGTATTAGTTCTCAGTGCAGAACAATTTGTAGTCTACAAAGACATGGTAACCATAATGTTCTGTCATGTTTGTGAAGATTATTTTGTTCTAACACCCTTTGCTAATTGAATCAAATGACAGAGAACCCTGAATATGTTAGTTTAAATGAGTGGAAATGTCTTTTCACCCACTTCTATCCAGAGAATTTTATGCTTTGTTATTTCTTAACTGATAGCATTGAGAACTTGTGGGGGGCCTCAGATCCATCCAGTGGAAACACAAACAAAGAGGCTTGTGTAGGAGACCTGTGCCCAACTACTTCTCCCTCTTCCCACTCAGCAGTCATGTGACTGAATGATTTCAGCTAGTGACTTCACCCTCAGCCAACACACACTTATTGAGTTGCATACACATTCCCAGCTCCCCTGCTGAGCTATTTCTGGTTATTATTGACCACGGTGGGTTTTAAAATAACTTTAATGAGCATGCATTACGATGAGTGAGCTAAAAATGTACACTCCAGCAGAGGGAAACCTGTTTTGTCTTTCTTTTTAGTTTCTTTTCTATTTCTCTCATATAGTTGCACATTTCAGGGGCGGGAAATGTTTCTCTTGGGATCTGGGACAGGTTTTCCTTTTATGAGTGTGTTTGATATTCGGGACATGCTCTGGCCTTAAGAGCTCCATGATTCATTGCAAGAGGCGACATTCGCCCGTAGCAGAGATCCTCAGCAGAGACTAATAATAGTGTAGCCTGACTTAGTATCCCATGCGGCTCTCTTAATGCTACCTAACACTCAAAAACTAGTAAAAGTTGTTTTAGAAAAATATAGACTGTGACATTTCCCCACATGAAAAATGGAAGGAGGGCAGCATCTTTTGCACAGAATGGCCCTTTGTTTTACTATGAACCTGTAAAATGGCACACTTCCAAGTTGATAAAAGTGAGACAGCATTGTGAAAGCATTGGCCTGTTGCTTTTACTTTTCTTTGTATTGATTGGTCTGTTTCCTGGTATTAAAGATGTCCCTCGTTTTTGATTAAAGTCCAGATGTCCCTTCAGGTGATTTAAGACCCCTGAAAGATGAAATCACCCCACAGATTTTCTCTTATTGTCTATCTTTGTGGGAAACTGTGCAGTGTTTATATATTGTATCTAACTTTTACAAAGAAATATAATTAAATGACATCTGTTGATTTAAATTCAGGTGAAAATTGACTGCATCTTGATTTTCCTACCTAAATGCGTCTATTGAAAATTATAATTAGACCAAGTTCTTCATATCCTAGAGAGAGGGTAGTGCTGTCACATGGGGGCACTGTTAAGCTGTAAATGCATCAGAGTGATATAAGGCAGTGATATCCTCACAAAATGGTTGCAGCAAATTCTCCAATAAACCTCAGCACAATTATAGGTTCCACCATTTTAATCTTTTTTCCTGAACCAAAAATGACATGGCCTGGGAGGCCAGGAACTATATGATTTGCTCTGTGTGTGTTTGCTTACCCTCATTTGACTGTTGTCATGTCCCACATTGTGATGGGTTTGCCGTCAGGCAGGAGCCTGTGTGGGTGGATGCACGTGCCATATGTGCTCACTCTGACAATGATGTCTGATTATAATGGTAGTTTTGCACTGTCTTCCAGGCATATGGTATGTCTGTTATGCCTTTGAATCTGATAAAAGGCACCCGCAGTGTTAAGTATGAACGCCTGGAGAACACTGAGGACATTGATGATGTTGAGCATCAGATTGAAAAGCTAAAATCCAAGGTGAGTCCCATCAGAAGACACAAAGAGTTATTTAAGCCTAAAAGATTTACTTTAGTAAACATGAAATCAAATGCTGTTTTTATTTGTTTTTTCTTTAATATCATTCTGGATTTTTCTATCTCATATGTGCCCCTTTGTCTTTGAATTCTGTTATGTGTGGGTAACATTGCTTTAGTCAACCACCTTCCCAGCTGGAGGCCACATATACTGAAAGTGTAGACATCTATTAGTTGCTCATTGCAACATGAAGTATAAACAATAGTCCAGATCATTCCTTATTTGTCCCTTGCATAAATGCACTTGTTAAAAACCAGGTATTGGCAGCATTAAAGGTTATTTTCACAGTAGCAAGAAGGTTAATGCAAAACACGCACAGTTTGCTTTCATATTGTGAGAGCAGTAGTTTAAATATGATACAGCGATATACATTTACAAGTATGTATATGCTTTGAGAATGTTTAGAAAACAGCATTTATATAATACTCCCACTATTTTTAGTCTACATACTCATTCACTTGACTGTAAATATTTATTAAAATCATATTTTTGCAGATAAAATGATATCTACATTTTTCAATGTTCTCATTAAAACTTCCAGCAGTGTAGTGTAGTTTCAAAAGTCCGCATAATATCGATCATTGATGCATTTGGGATATCTTTTGGTCGTCTTGTCAGTGCCAAGATGGACGTCCTCTGTCCTCGAGGGATAGAAACAACCTGCAGGAGCTGGAGGGCAAACTACAGGTCCTCCGGCGCAGGGGGAGACACCTGGAAATTGCAGAGAGGAACTGCTGCACTAAAGTGGGCAGTGCTCTCAGACCTTTCAAGGTGAGTGTCCATTATGGAATTGGCTCTCATTCACAAAAGTAAATTATGTTCTCCAAAGTATTCTGTACAAAGGGAAATTATGCTGATGAGTGTGTATTGAATGCAAGCATACAGACAGGGTTATTTAACATAGATAGTGCTGTATTTATTCAGTGCTTCTTTTAATTGATATTTGAGATTAAGAATAGGTGAAACTGCAAAAACCCGCTCTAGCTTGTGTAATACATTTAAAACATCATTTTTGTGTTTGTATTTTTATAGCCACCTTCAACTACTTCTTCCTAAACAATTTCTTTGTGCTCAATTTCCAATCTGAACTGCTCTAGATTTACTTTGAGTTCTACTTTACACAACCGCATAGTTACATGATTCCCACAGGAAATCTATTCACCTAATTTACTCTGAAGTCTCTCAGGGAGTCTCATATTTCTCAGGCAGGATCTCATGGTACCCAAGGGATAGACCAAAGCAACCAAGAAACTTGTCTTTTTATTGTTTTTCGTATTTTTTTTCTTCTTTTTTTGGCTACCAGTGGACATGTTGGTCCCAACATTACTGGCCCAGTACAAAACATCCAGACACAATGTACTGATGAGCATAATGTAGAGACTCAAAGTGCCTCAAAGTTCTGATCAATTACATACATTTCATTTGAGCAGTTTTTCATGGTATTGAATAGAAGTGCTTTATAATAATTTTTTGAAGTTAAATAAAAAGCACATTGGCTTTTTATGCAGTCACTTGGGGGCAAAAATAAATAAATCACAAATTCAGCCAGAATCCCGCACGGCTAGGTTTTCTTACCAATCCTTAATAATATATCCTTGTTCCAAACCACTCATTTATTGTGTGTGCTTTTTTTTTAATCAACAATTGGCAGAAACAGCTATTGAAAATGGCATAAATACACTTCACTGGACTTTTAGACAACGCAGTGGCTCTCACAATGAAAATGGCTTTGCATAACAGACTTATGACTGTTATTATTCTTGTTAAACATAATGGTGGAGGGTCTGAATAAAAGGTATAATATAAAGTTACAATACTGCAAATCCTCAAGCAGCAGAAGTATTTACTCCTAATAGTTTTATTGAACTGCAGCTGAAATACAGTAACAAGAATGTTGATAACATTACTGAAAAAGATCAAAAGACTTTGATAACAGATTTTCGTTGTCGTATATTTCCTTCTCGATTATTCCCACGTTATAGAAAACATTTTTTCTTCTTTTAACTGATATAAAAGACTTATGTGGCTGGCTGCAGTGCTATTGTAATAACTCACTGAAAGAATATCCACTTACTTCTGTTCATATTTCAACCTATGCAGCCAGCACGTGCACACAAATGTACTTTGTGCCTATATGAATGGCTTACATGCTTAATGTGCTCTTATTACTCTGCATTACCACATGACTTATCAGTGGTAATGCCCAGTTACAGTCCTGCAGACCCCTCACTTTTAACGCCTTTTCCATATGTTAAGGATAAAATAAATTCAAGCATCATTCCCTTCTTTCACATTTTACTTTTCCTACTGCTGTTCATTTTTCAGTACTTAACTGCACTGCAGGCTCAAACAAATATTTTAAACCAGTGTCTGTAACAGTTTGTCTTTAACCAGGGGGGTTGCTGCTAATGATAGTCCCCAGACTCAAATTTAAACAGTAATGAGTTGGGAGATTTATTTACTGTATACCGAGAGACTGGTGTAGAGTGATAAGCCAAATGATTGCGATTTCAGCCTCACTGTTCCTCAGACACATGCTGTCCTTTTAATACCAACACCGACAGTGAGCGAAAATGACTCACTAAGCATGTTAAACACTGACAGTTAAAATCAGTGCGTGAGGACGTGGAGCTCACAATAGTTACTCTCTTTTGATCGCGCAAGAAATGTAACAAGCAATTAAATTTTTTTTTAGGTAAGCAACTTGCACCATAATAGGGTGAAAAATTGTGCCACCTATCTATAGAGGTTTTATTAAAAAAGTGTGTGTGTGTATATATATATATATGGCAGGTGCCTTATTTAATGTTTTAATAACTTTACTATCATTTAATACATGTAAACTCATTTTTTAGATATTTCCTTGGTTAGAGTAGCAGTTTCATAAAAAGATTACTGTACTTTTTTAAAATTAAACTAAATTATGTTTTTCTTCTCCGTCTTGCCTGCTTCTCTCCTAAGTCTGTCATCAGTATGTTAATTAATATTTTGCTGCAAGGGGTTTATCTCAGATAATTTGGTATAATTTGGTCTAACTATTGATATGAAGATCAGCATTAGATTCACTTTTTTTCCCCTCCCACTACGTTCATCTGATCAGCCAGCTTTTTCCTCCCTGATTGCAGCCTCCTAACTCTGCTTCAGCTGTGCCATTGCTTCCCCCTGTCACCCTGAGCGACAGTGCCAAACTGTGGCTGGCTATGCCATATGGTCTCTGTTTGACAAAAGACATGGTAGAAAGGTTATATTTGCTGACTAAGTAGCTGTCTTTAAAAATACACATTTTATTTAAATGCAGCTTTTAATGCAGTTCACAAACAAGGGCACACTGTGATTACACGTCCCTCCTATAGCAGTCATTTCTAAAAATCCTGTATCCTGGTATTTTGTTGTAGTTATTTATTTTTGTTTCTCTGTTTTGATTGATTGATTTGCAGATATTACTAGGCATATTCTTTATCCTGGTTGCGTTGCTGTTCACCATTGCCCTCTTCATTTCAAAGTAAGTTATGATTTGTCCTGTAACACAAAATACAGTTTGCAGTGTGTGCCTTGTAAGACCAAAATGTACCAAAATAAACAGTGCAATTGCTTCATTTAACCTTATATATTAAAGTTTAATACTGGAGATTGATACCCTTATTTCTTCTTTTTCTTTCTCTCTGTTTTTTTCCTCCTCAGTCTGGATAAAGCTCTCCACTCGGCTGGCATCAGCTCTGGGTTCATAATCTTTGGCACCAACCTAACCAATCCTCTGAATGAACTTCTTTTAGCCTTGCAACCTGTGAGTATCCTATCATCTCTCACGTTGGAATAGTGATTATACTCAATTAAGATATGCTTAAATCCATATTTTTTTGTTTCTGTCATCATTAACCTCAATGAAGCATCATTTAAAAGCTTTATCACTGGTCTCTCCTAAATGAACTTGAGATGTTGTGTAAAACTTGGGGAGTATGTGCTTCAGTGTGCTGAAATTTAAACACATTAAACTGATTTTTGGGTCAGTGCTAATTTGTAATGAAATAAATTAGGATACACAATACACATCGTCAGTGATAGGTCATTGAGTTTCCAGGTTTTTCAGCATCATACACCTTCACTCAGGAAACCCAGCAAGGGTTGTTCAGACCCTGGCTTGTTTCCCAGCAGCATTGGCGAAAGGATCACTCCTCCTCATTGAAAGCCATCTGGAGGCCCTCTCTGCAGCTTCCAGAGTGGACATGATGGCTTTCTTTTTTGCAGCACCGGTGACTGAAAAAGCTGCACCTTAATCAGCTCACACCGCACCATACAGCCTCTCCTCCTGCACTGATCTACCAGTTCCTGGTACTTGGACCATTTATGCTTATTTGCCTCTTCATTTAGCTGTAAAAGAAGCAGCTGCTTTGACGAGGCTAAAGACAGGACCACACACCACACAGCTTGGCAAAACATGACTGCTAAATTGGTTTAAATACCTAAACTTGCCAGTCTGAACACTTCATGTTGCAAAGCATAACAGTTGTTGATGTTCAGATGTTTTCCTGGTGTGTGAATGTGCTGCAGACTAACCAGGATAGATATGGTTAGCATTTATTGGAGCTGATCAGATATTGTGGGATTACCCATTTTTACTGGTTGCTCCTTGAAAGATTACCATCCTAAGTGTTTGGCTCTGGATGCAATAATTATTGTTGTGCATTTAAGATTTATACGGTAGCTGACTTGTTTTTGATGTCACAGGTTTTTCCACTGGATTATATCCTGATCACAGTCATCACAGTGTACTTCGTACTCACATCCATGGCCGGCATTCGTAACATGGGCATTTGGTTCTTCTGGATAAGGGTAAGAAAATGCCTTATTTATGTATTTAAATTTTTGCAAATGCCCAGTTAACTACATGATAATGTGTTCTTTTTTTCTTTTCTTTTTTTTTTTTTACAGCTGTACAAAATAAGACCTAAGAAAACTCGCCCCCAGGCTCTCCTCTTCCTCTGTATGATTCTTCTTTTGATCGTTCTGCACACCAGCTACATGATCTATAGTCTAGCCCCACAATATGTCATGTATGGCAGCCAGAAATACCTTGTACAGGTAAGGAAAAATTCATGTCCATTCCTGTGTGTTTCTTTGTTTTCACTCTCCCTGATGAGAGCTTCTAACGATGGCAGTGTCAGTTAGTCAGTGTGTTCAAACCTCTTTGGTTCAGTTTGGTGTAGGCAGCAGCATGGTCTCTACAGGCTGGCAGCGGGGCTTTTAGACTCTTGTTCGTTTTCAGTTCCGTCTTTCTATATTAGACTATGTGGCTTTGCTGTTTGACAGTCTACTCTCCATGTGATCTAATGTAGCTCTGCTCTTTCTCGCTGTGTGGGTGTACGCAGGTGGTTTAGATGCACCCTTGCGTCTACACTTTATCAGAAAAAAAAATCTTTTAAACAACATAATTTAAATGAACCGGTGTGTTGTTTTACTGAAACATCCTCTTGTTCTTTTCTTTTAAATTTTGATATCACATTATATGGTAAATGGCCTGCATTTGTATAGCGCTTTTCTAGTCCCTAAGGACCCCAAAGCGCTTTACACTACATTCAGTCATTCACCCATTCACACACTGGCGATAGCAAGCTACATTGTAGCCACAGCTGCCCTGGGGCACACTGACAGAGGCGAGGCTGCCGGACACTGGCGCCACCGGGCCCTCTGACCACCACCAGTAGGCAAACATGGGGTTAGTAACTTGCCCAAGGATATTTGGCATGCAGCCAGGAGGCAGCCTGGGATCGAACCACTGACCTTCTGATTAGTGGCTGACCTGCTCTGCCACCTGAGCTACAGCCACCCCATATATCAAAGATGCATACAGTTTAGAGTAAATATTGAATAGGACTGGTTGAATTCTTCTGTGATCAATATCATGATGAGCTCCCACATTTGTTTCTGTTAGGTTCCTCGTTTAGATATGATTAAATTGCTTAAAAAGTGGACAGAGCTTAGCAAATGCATGCGCTGAGGCTGAGAAGTATCAAGTTAAGAAGCAGTAAAGGGTTAGTTGCCTCTAGACTTTTCCTCATCTGGGCTGTTAGACCAGGAGGAGGAACTGGAGCAAAATTAATTAACACTTGCTGCTTTCTTTTTTTTTCCTTTTGGTTTTTAAATCAAAACACTACATTTCTAATATTACCTTCCTTGCGCACCACATGGTCACGTGCAGTTTTATATAATGGGTGGAGTTAGATAATCACCCCAAATCGCATTTGATTGGATGGATTTTTGCAAATGTCCCCAAGTGCAGGATTAGGGACCAAAAAATATTTTATTTTTGTGTCTAAAATTGACATAAATTAAACATAGAATATACAAATTAAATTTTTGTTTTGAGAATTAAGGGTAGGAATTCTTTTATTCATTATTAGTTCGATAGTTAGTCGATTTCTTCAATTAATTACAGAGCTGTGTTGATTATTAAATGCATTGTCACCGTACTGTCATTGTTAACAGAGGTTCATATGTCTGATATAGCTATATATTGTGTATACCTGCAGGAAAATTAGATTAATATTATTACAACTTTTACAGTCCTTTGGACCCAAATCATCTTGTTTTTACTTTGCATAATGTAAATCAGCCGATAATATATGAATAAAGTATGTTGATGATCTGTACTAATTCAGTCTTATAAATTCTTAGAGACGATAGTTCAGACAGTTCCATGTTCATAAAATGCCAAAATATTTGTGTACTGCAGTGTTTAATGTTTCTGTAGTAAACACGTACATCACTCTTGTTTTGTTTTTTGGTTTCAGATGCCATCACCAGGTCCTACATCTGGGAATACAACTATTAACACCTCCAGGATATGTGATGCAGATGCACCTGAGGGTAAGTTCGTCATTTCTACCACACTATAGTAGCGCTGGCTCCAATCGTGAGATGCTTAAAGAACCTACAAGACAACATGAAACATTTATTGCTCATAACGTGGAATTCATGCTAGAGGAACAGAAGGACGGTGTGTGTGACCAAGTTATATAATGTAGAACACTGTTCAGTAATCTTTATCACTATTCATTATGTATTAGAATTAATAATACCAAGAACAAATGTTTACTAATGCAGTAGGTAGTGTCTTACTGTCAACATGCAAATGTTTAATTCACTAAAGGAGGCATGAATACACCAACGTGTGCATGCACATAAGTATAAGCTCTACTATGTTTATTTATTCATGTGATAAATGCTCATGTCAGGCTGCTGTTGGTAGTGAAGGGGATACTTTGTATGATGTGTAAAACCAAAGATACATCTGTAGAAATGTGTGAACGTTGTGTAATAAGTTTGTTTATGATACAGATAACAATCTATCTAGCTAGTTGGCTATTCCACATATATGCAGATCCACAGTAACATCTGTCTTGAATGGGGTAACATAGCATTGAAGGCTTCAAGTAAACAGACAGAAAAGGAATTATTTTCATTTCGACGCAGGTTTAAAGAAAAACAAACAAGATCATAAATTTACTTCATTCTTCAACATACCTGACACATGTGCCTTTTATCATTCCTCATCTACTCTAACCTTAATAGTCTTAATACTATTTTTGTTCTCCAAAACAAAAATAGTGTTGTTTTACAGTACGCCCTAAACTGTAGTAGCATGACAGGAAAAATGGCTTTCAGACTCACTGTTATGGTCTTTTAGACCCTACCCCAGAATTGTATAGCTAAATCCTCAAAGTCCATTTTTTCTGGGGAAAAGTAAATTGTTACAGTTAAACCTGCTTTTCTCTGCACACACAACAAAGTCTGTGCCAGTACCTGAAACCTCACACAGGAGCACACAGACCTTTCTAAACCCTTTCTAAATAGGAGTTTTTGCTCATATACAGTTTTTTTTTCTATAATGTTCTACAATCTATCTACAATACAATTTTATAGTAGTCTTAAGTAAATGTAAAACCGTGTCTGTAATTGCTCCGATTCAACATGATATGAGCTAACATCAGCTTATCACTTATCTGGCTGTTTCTAGAAGGCTGTTTTCTGAATTTTTCAGATGCATGCAGCATCAAGATCTTTTCCAAAGTGAGGGAAATTCTTTTAACAATCAAGTATCATTAATCTAACAGCAAATTAGTGATATTATTATCATAAGCTTTTATATAATTTATTAAATGGTACTTGATGTGTTTGGAGTTATTTTTGGGAGTAATTATTTATGGAGCTATATAAATGATATTTAGAGCATGTGTGTGGCTCAAATGCACTGAACTAGAGGAAATGGCATTTGTTAAAGGCTGTGGTTTCACAATTGTCATTGTGTGAGAAGTTATCTCTCAATTACAAAATATTTATTATTCTAACCTCATTAGGCAGATCATTGCCATGTTAAGATCATTGCTTATAAAAATGGAAAGCCTTGTAGAGAAATAACTAGTAGGATCACACACAATACTTTTATGTGGAATATAAAGACAGATGATTTCATATTTGAAATTAAGTTATGTTACAATGTTTTCCTTCATATCAAAGGTAAACATTCAAACACCTATTTAATTACCATAGTTTGAAATATAAATATATATATAATTACATATAACAAACAATGCTTATATTGATTGCTTATATTTAATGTTTAAACAGGTTATATCCAATAAATCCATTGAAACCATTTGTTTACACCTGCTGACATACAGTAATTAGGTATCTGTAAATCTCCCAGTAATACTTATGCTTATCAAAGAATATTGTTCAAAATAAGTGGCGATAGCTTTTTTTATTGTATGTATTTCAGATAATAATGTTTGTTCTTCTTCCCCACCTCTAACAGTTATGATTCTAATTATGATCATGATTCTGGAGCACATTCTCCTGTTGTTTACTTCATTACTAAAAGATAAGTTATGTATATCTTTATAGCTGCAAATCAGATGGTACCACAAGACACTCAATTTGTGGAATATTGTGACCATTTGTTCAACAATATTCTATTATGCTGGGAAACTGCACACATTAATTTAGCTGCTGATTTCCTTTGGCTCTTGCTAAAACCTATTTTGGTTTTTTTATTACAGCCAATATTAATATACTAACAAACAAGCATAAAGTCATATTGCTGCATCTGAGGGCTTTTCCCTAAGAACACATTCATCTGTTCATTTTATTTAATGTTTATATACACCTACATGTAGCATTTAAGTGTCTGAGATACTGAAATTCATGTAGGTGCCAGAATAAAATGACTATTACATCCATGCCCAAAGTGTACAACAGAAAATTTAATAAAATATTCTTTTAGAAAACCTGCTCTTATGACAAATCAAATACAGACATATTGCATTTGATTTGTCATATAGGATAATATAGATTTATATCAGTTTATGCATTATCATGTAGAACAGTAAAGCTGTCAAGTTATCCTTACAGCTTGCTTTTAAATAAATACAAACAATATGTCATATAATTTTTTTTTTTTATTTATTTATTTTTTTTATTCAATTTTGCCGACATTTGTGATGTTCAGTAAACCCAAAAATAAAATGACACTTATTGACAGAATGTCAGAAAAATCAGATCAATCAATCAATTCATCTTTAGCATTATTATGTCAACATATCACTGTTTCTTTTAATACATCATAAGTATTTTGGTAGAGAAGCCAGTATTATTAATATATTCAAGCACCATCATCATGAATACATGTTTGGTATGCTTTCATGCCAGACTGCTTGGAATTTAGCAGAAATGTAATTATGACAAAACATCCTGCCTCATCATTTGATTCTGTTAAAGTTCTTAAGAAGTTTTGTCACAACTGGCAACTAAAGTATGAAATTTGTTGTCGGTGTTCCTGAGTTGTTGCTTTTCACAAAAAATGGTCCAAATGTGCGGTTTTTACACTTTTTGTAAAGCAGCAGTTCAGGTAGTTCTTACAAGAGTGGCCTAAACATCAATTGGTTTCTTACATATGAGGTGCTCCAGTGTGACGTGCGGTCGTTATAAATGACCCATAGAGCTCCTGATTAGTTGTGAGAATTATCTCATAATTTTTTTGGAACTCTTCAGCACTGTTATACTAAAGGTGTCGTTATTGCTGGAGTTAGTAGTCTGGCAAGATTTGTAATTTGTCTTTTGACCAGCTTAGTAAAATGAGTTCTTTTTTTGCCATCTTGTAAATGGCTCCTGCTTTCACAACAGCCGTTGTACCACCTACCATGAGGCGAAGGAAGTGTCAAGCAGAGATAACACATGTGACTGAGAGGGACTGCAATCAGACACTTAATAGCTTAAACAGTTAAAAAAAAAGTGACTGTATGATTAAAAAAAAATAATTATGTTGCCATTTAGATAATATCCCTTTTGTTTATAAGAAGATAGTATTTGATTTGCCCCTAGACAGTGCGTAGTTGTGGAAAGGTGACTACATGCAGCGCAAACAGTCGAGAGCCTCCATTTATCTGATTTGCACAATTTATGTTTTTCCAGGGTGTCACACTGAGCAAAAATGTGCTCCACATAATGTATGGTAAAATATTTTTGGGGTGACACAGACATGACCAACGCTGATGGTCTTTATTCTGTACCCACTGCATTATTCTAACATTTGCTACATAATGATGAAGTTGAAGCAAAAAAAGCTTATATTGGCCATTTAGCCATTTGCTACATTTCAAATAGTAATCATTGCAAAAGTTGGGAAAGTCTGAAAAACTTTGAGTATGCACAAAACAGAGGACAGCCACCAGAAGAATCTGACGCTTGAGTTAGGTGTAGGAAGGTAGAGTCTTGTGTCAGAGAGAAGACTCAGGAGATCGGTGCTCTTTCCGTAATTGATATAGACTTGTTGGAGAGGAACTGTGCCTTGCCTATAAAGCTGACAAAAGCAAGTTTCCAGCAGACTTCATAGTTTGAAAAAATGAGTTCTGTTAAAACTTACCCGTTTTGATTCATTATCTAAAAAATGTGCTCACCTTGTAAACTGTTGGTTCTTCATTGTTTTTCATACCATGTTAATACTTTTATCTGGGAATTGAGAAATGCTGTTGTTGACAAAACAGTAGTAACAGTTATAGTAATAATTAGTAAATAGTAAAGGCATTAAAGTTGTTCTTTAATTTATGGTGCCATCGTGAGAAATTTCCCTAGAATTTGCCAGTTGTGTCCAAATTCCTTATTCTTGAAATTTTAATCTAGTATGAACTCAAGCACAGATATGGAGACATGTATCTTTTCTTGGGATTTAAAAGCCCTTTTGGTTGATGTAAAAATAATGATAAGAGAAAAAATTATGGCAATACCCTTTGGTAGAAATTTGCATCACAAGGCACGGGAACTGCATCACTTTGTAATAACCCACAGTATGACATTACATCAAGACAGCTAAGACAAAAGAGGGTAGAAGTCAAACTAGTGACTGATTGGGCGATTGGTCACAGTTGGGTAATGACACTAACATCTTGGCGAGCAGGTGCTCAGTGCCAGGCTCTCCATTATGTACTCTAAGGTCATTACCATGCCATTACTCATTTACTCAGCGTAATGGAAATGAATCTTCGGGATTTAGCTGCCATGGCGCCAGATAATCTGAAACTTGAAGTTCTCTTGATTATCCAATTTAACACAGGAAGTAAAGGCATTTTAGGGTTTTAAAAAAATGGGTGTGTGTTATATCTTATATTTGTAACATTTCACAAGCCCTGGCACAAACTTGAACTTTTGCAACTTTCCCTGTTCAGTTTTAGTTATAGGTTTTATGAAGCCTGGCTGAAACACAGAGAACTTTCAGCTGCTCTGTCAAATTAGTCTTACCTCTATGATGCTCATGCTGCTACTTCTGCAGGGGGCTTTGCTTTGATCATAAATTCTGATATGCATCTAAAACC